TGGAAAGCTGCCCTTCGGAAAGGGACCTACTGGCGTTGGTCAACAGCTGGCTGAATATAATAAGCTAGCAGTGTGCCCAGGTGGCTAACTAAGAAGGCAAACAACATCCTGGCCTGTATCAGAAATAGTGTGGCAAACAAAGACTAGGGAAGTGATTGAACCCCCTGTACTCAGCATTGGTGAGGCCACACTTTGAATACTATGTTCAGTTTTGGGCACCTCAATAAAAGAAGGATACTGAGGTGCCAGACCATGTCCAAAGAAGAGCAATGAAGCCAGGGTAGGTTTAGATTGAATATTAGGGAAAATTTCTTCACTCAAAAGGTTGTCAAGGACTGGAACAGGCTGCCCAGGGAAGCAGTTGATTCACCATCCCTGGAGGTATGTAAAAGACATGTAGACGATGCATTTAGGGACATGGTTTTGTGGTGGACTTGGCAGTGTTAGATTAATGGATGCACTTGATGATGTTGAAGGTCTTTTCCAACATAAACAATTCAATGATTCTAAGTCCTAAAGACAAAGAATATTCTCATTTGAGTAATATTCTCGACTTCAAGTTCTGTAGGTTTTTAGAATCATAGGAGCATACTTTTTCCACGTTGAGATTAAAGGGTTGACTGTTTTAAATCATGTAGAGCTAGAAGTAATAAAGGACTTTGATGTAACAGATGTAGCCAATGCATAGTCAAGCAATCGATGAAGATATTCTAAGCTTTGTGTCTTTCACTTGGAATTCATTGCCTTCCGTGGTAGAGAAATGATCCTGTTTTACTTTGCTCCCACCTGGTTTCAGTGCAGGGACCTAGTCAGCTGCATCTCATCTAGCAGGACAGTCATTACATCTAACTAAATCCTCACTCCAAAACTAAAATCCCCAACACTTTCCTTCATCTCTGTCTATTCTTGGTCCCTAAGCTCAGCAGGTACTTCCCTGTTTCACTCTGAACTTCTTTAGGGCCTCTAGCCTTCCCATAGGATCAGAACTACACCAGTATGAGTACCTTAAGTTGAACAAGTATCCAGAAACGATGAGTGATGTCCACTAAAGTAGGCACCAGTACTTAAGTTAGTCACTCTCCTTGATAGTTGATGGAGATCTAGTTAATATATCCTTAAGTCAGATTAATCCTAAAGTAGGTACCTAATAACTGCTTTTTTCTTGGATCAAAACCAGAGTCAAGAGTTGCTAGCTCAAGTACTGACATTTACACCGACATCTAAAGTTAGTGAGATAAACTTATTACCCTGTTACTCCACACAAATCACCGTGCCAGGCTAGGTCTGGCAGACCCTATCACAGTAGACTGAACATTAGCAGAACCATACATATGACAATACACAGCCACCTTGTTTTTTTTAAAATGGCTGAAGGAATAGGCCCATCTCCAGTAACATCCCTATGACTACAACACTTTGCCCATAAGTGGAAAATTATTTGGAGGAAGGTCACAAATGTGGACTTTTTAGTTTAAAAATGGAAACCTTTAAACTCTTGGCTATATATAATGAACATGGCATGTCTGCCATGTCAAATACAATAAAGGAAATTTATTTCATTTTCAATAAAGGAAATTTATTTCATTTTTGAAAGACTTGTTGCTGATGCCTGCCAGAGGAGCAGATTCCAAGTACTAGATTATCAGATAATCAGGGCATAATCCCTGTACTTACTTCATTTTATTGTCTTGCTCTAGGAGCCTCTCTGCTCAGCATAAATAGTTTCTTAGACTGCAAAATCTGAGACATCTTCTTATTTCTAGGAACTAGAGGGTTTTTTTTTTTAAATACAAGATGATGGATGGCAAGTTAGCTTTAGAAAAAAGGGTCTATATATCATACTTTAAAATATGTGGAAAGTCTTATGGTGTTTTTTTTTCTGTTCAAAATACTGAAACCTTATTAACACTTCATTTACAGCTTGGAGTGTATACCTATACTGAGTCCTGTTGCATACACTTAAAGACCATAATATTTTGTAGTTTTAAGTTGGATAATTCATTCAGAAAACATTGCCTATTCCATTTGCATCTTCTGTTTTCTAAAACCTTAAGTAACAGACACAACAACCTAAGAACCTGCAGGCACTGAATGTTAGTGACACATGAGGAAAAGAACAGGACTAAGTCAATGACACAGCCAGCTGTGGAAC